CATGGCTGCTCAGACTCCCCCTATAATCATGGTTTCCTGTTTGGTACTGAGACCAGGAGTGGGGGAGGGGAGCAGCCGTCACTCTGGCAGGGGGCCTGCTCTGGACAGAGGGGGCCGGAAGTGATGGCTGCCCAGCCTCCTGGAATCTTGGGAGGCTGGGAACCAAGACAACTGTGTGTGTGTGGGGGGGGGTGGCTGTGTCAGTCAACAAGGCTGATGTTCCCAAGATGTGTTTGGGGGACAGAGGTCTGTAGGGTCCAGTAAGACAAGCCAGTCATCAGCTGAGGCCCTGCTCTGGCTGGCATGGGGGCCCAGAAGGGTGGTGGGAACAAGTGGCAACTCCCAGGCAGCTCCCAGCTCCAGTCACCCTGCCCCCAGACACAAAATCACAGGGCTGCACGAAGCTGGGATGGAGCCCAGAGCCACAATCTCAGTCCCAGCCAGATGTGGTGGTAGCATCACCACCGCAGGCCCTCCCCATGCAGCCCCCTGGCGCCTCCCAGTCCAGGGCCCACGCCTTGGACCCAACAGGTCCCTGCCAGTCTCATCATCCCCTCCCTGCCACACAGGAGCAGGGGTCCCCGTCCAGGCGCTTTCCATATCCTGGTACACTCAGCTCCCACTTGCACAGAGCAGCCTCCAGTGCCCCAGAAACTCCAGGTCTATGAAGAAAGCACTATGCCCCCCTCATCCTGTCAGGGGAACGCCAGGAGTTCCTCTTTCTCTGAGTCTCACTGTCTGGTCAGAGGAAATGTGACTGGCAGAGAGCACTCAGAAGAGTAGGCCAAGACAGAACAGATCTGGGATCCTAACAGCTTTCTGAGGGTCAGCGGGGTTGAAGAGGACAAAAGGCAGGCCTGGTCACCTATGCCCCTTCTTTGGGAATATGCAAGGAAAGCAGCTCTTTAGCCCTTTCTCATCAGAGATTCCAAACACTTTCTGTCCTGTGTTCTCCACGTGACCCAACATGAAACCCTTAATCTATACACATCTTTTAACAGCCCTTTTTACAAAGTGCCCCCAGCCCACCCCAGTGACTCTCAGAGTTGCCCCTCTGCAGGTAACAGAGACCTGTGAAGCAGTAGACCAAGAGCCTTGGGCAAGCCCTACCCTCCTAGCAGCTTGTCACAACCCCCAAAACTACAGGAGAATTAAATAGGAGGAGGCGGAGCATCAATAGAAAGATCAGGCACCTGCCAAACACCAGCCAAGATTTCATGGTGCGCACCTGCCATCCCAGCAATCAGGGAGACTGAGGCAGGAGGATCACAAGTTCAAGGCTAGCTTGGGCTACAGAGTGAGACTCAGTCTTAAACAACAAAGCAGCTATTATGGTCATAGTTGGGGCGGGGTAGGGAGTCTCCAGAGAGATGAAGCAAACTACCTAAGCTCACACAGCAAGAAGGCACAGGTTAAGGCTGCTGGCCAGGGTTGGGAGCCAGCCAGTATCCAACTTGAAAGAGCTAGCTTCTGGCTGTGTGACTCTAAGTGTCACCAAGTGTCTCATTTTCTCATATAGTAAAACAGGGGCTCTGACCATCCATCCCTAAGATTATCCTAACTATAGTCTATCCCGAAACAGAGAGTGCAGGGGGATCCCAAGGAGCTATGTCCAGTATTCATCTTGGAGCTATGCTGCCTACCAGGAGTCCTTAGCCAGACACCCAGTTGGCCCAGTGGTTCTAAGGCCAGTCCTCTTCCCCAGCAGCCTGGGGGTGCCAGGAACTTTCTGTACCTCCTTTTCCTCCAGGAGACAGGTGTGATGTCTACCACTTACTCTGTCCACTGCTGTCCAGCTTTTGGAGGCTCTTCAGATGGCAGGAGACTTCTAGTTTAACCCATCAGCCCTGAAAGTCAAGCCTGTGTCTGTAGGTGATGAGTGAGAGAGTGGAGGGTCAGACACACTGCAGTTGTGACCACTATCAGCTTAACTTAGAAGGTCTCCTCCAGGAAGCCCCCCCCACCACACCTCTTCAAGTTCCCTCCTAAGAAAGATAGCCAGGGCCTGACCCTGACACTGTCCTTATGCAAAGAAAGGGTCTTTCTTGAGATGGACAAGAATTCTGCCCAATCACACAGCAGGTGTCTGTCCTGGCACCCAGCTGTCTGGGAAGTCATCAGAACCCAGGCATACGGTGACTGCATCCCAGGTGGGAGGGGACATTGTTCACAGTCCTGGCCTGGAACAGCCCAGGAGTCCCCAACTTTTCATTTCTATAATGAGGGTAGTGGCTTGCCAGACATCCTGGAGGAGAAAAGGGAGGGTGTTCCTGGATGTTGAGAAAAGACACACACCTGCTACTGTGCACCCCTAACACCTTCCCAAACACAGAATGGGAACTCTGAGAAAGAACAGGTCATGATGGTGCATGCCTGTGATCCCAGCATTTGGGAGGTAGAGGTAGGAGGATCAGGAAGTCAAGCTTATCCTTGGCTACATAATGAGTTTGAGCACAGCTTAGGCTACAAGACACTGCCTCAAAACAAAATAGAACAAGAAATTCGAATTTGCCAAACACCTAGTATGCCCCAGGCACAACACTGGGAGCTTCCCTTTTCATTCTTTCATTCTTACAGGGGGAAAACTGAGGCACAGGACAGTTAAGTCACTTCCACAAGGTTACACAGCCACCAGTCAGTGAAGACCCATCCCATGTAGATTCATGTAGACTGAATGTCATGTCAGATCCCACCCAGACCTGGCCTTAAAAGAACATGGTCCAAAAGCTAGTTTCCGGTGTCTCCACACTCCACACCACTCTGAAAGTCACTGAAGCACAGCAGCTGGCCTGAGGCCCTCAGAGCCCTGGTCACCTGGTCTCTAAGGATCCAGGAAACCCCAAATCTATGGGCCAGAACACGCTCCCAACTCACTAGCCACAACCTGAATGAGACCAGCTGTCTCCTTCCTAGAGTCCCACCCCACCCTCCACCCCCTCCCAGACTGGCACAAAGACCCAGAGTTGTCTAGTCCCTCCCCTCCCAAGCAAGCCTCTATCCACTACCCATCCCGTGGTGTCCTTAGAGGCCCCCAACCAGAGAACGTTCTTGGAACCACCAGCTGGAGCTCTTCTGGTCTAACCTCAGTCCCTCCTGCTGTAAGCACACCGTCTCCTCTGGGCAGCATCCCAGCAACCCAGTACTAACCCTTAACCCTTAGCTTCTCAGGCCAGGTGACATGGTGGCCCCATGGGGAGGACAAGAGGCCTGTTAGAGGGACACCTCCACACCCACCTCTGCCTTGGCCCCTCCCCTGCCCCAACCTGTCACCCAGCATTGGTCTGAGCCACCCCTCCCCTGCCCCACCTCACCCTCACACCTGCTGGTTGAGGCCCTATGGTGTGCTGGGTCCTCACAATCTCCCTGAATCTTTTTCTACCTTTTGGAGTATGAATTATTATTAGCCTTTTCCCCTCCTGGGGAAAGTTGCCTCCCTTGGGACCGCGGAGTCAGACAGTTCACCCTAAACCCTTTTCCCTCATACTATAGTAACACCTCCCTGAGGGCATCCTTAGTCTCCTCCTCACAGAGGGGAAACCCCAGGTTCAGAGGAATGGGAGTGGCTGACTGGCTCAAGACCTCATCATGAACAGGTGGTGGTCACTAGATTTGACCACCAAAACTCTAATTCCCAGGTCTTTGGTGTCAAGCGTGATTTTTTTTTTTTTTTTTTTTGTGATGATTCTGAGAAGTGTCCCAGCTGCCAGACTGGGCAGGACCTCCATCCTCCCAGTAGCTTCTCCCCTCACCCCAGCTAGAGCACCAGGGATGAGGCATGGCCACCAGGCACTATCCCTGGTCCCCTCCCCTCAGCTGATATTCTGACAAGCCTGTGGTCCTCAAGCCAGTCCTGGGGACCCTACATGCCTCCCTACAGACTAACCGCTGGGCTCAGGAGGGAAGGGGTGGGTTGGCCAGTCTGGGCTCCACTGATCACCTGAGAAGGTGGGGACAGCTTGCTCCTGAAGCCAACTGTGAGTGTGGGACCTGGAAGTCCCCAGCTCACCCAGTCCTTATTTGGACACCTATCCACCAGAAACTCACTTGGGACCTCCCCCCATTCCTCAAAGGTGGGAGGGAGGTGACTCTTCCACTGGCTTCCTTCTGGGCTCCTGGTGAAGAGAGGATCATAGTCACTCCCATAGCTGACTGCCAAAGGGACAGTCAGGGGTCACCTCATACCCACTTCTGTCTGCACACACATGACCCCCTGGGGGTCCCTGTGCCAGGCTCATGATAGCCTACACGCCTGGACACACTCCCATAGGTCCAGGCACACACCCCCTCACCCTGCAGGCCATGGTGGCATATGCCGTGCACAATGGGTCACCCTCATGTGTGTGTGTGTGGTGGGGTGCTGATGGCATCCACGCATGTGGACAGCTTTCCGGTGCCCACGCCCACAGGTGCCCAGGCACCCTTTTCAGAGGCAGGCACGCGCGTGCACACACACACACACACACGCACACACACACACACACGGTCACTCTCATCCACCCCCGCAGGTCACCTTCACCGAGTCACCCTCCACCTCCCCCTCGGGAGCCCCCACCGCTCTGCCAGTGGCTTGAGGGGGTCGGGGGGTGGGGAGGAGGCGACCCCGGCAGACACCAAAAGCACACGCTTCCCGGAGGGGAAGGAAACGGCGGTCTGGGGGACACCCACGAGGCCGAGACACACCCAGCCCGGCCCGCGCGCGACAGGAACCCGCCGGGGAACGGGGGATGGGGATGGGGACCCGCAGGCCTGTCACTCACCCCCGCGGCACGGCCAG